CTTGCACAGCCCAAGAAATATGATTCACTACACCTAATAGACTGATCCAGAAAATATCCTAATATCGAATGAGTGAGGTACCAAAAAACAATGTATAAAATCAAAGTGCCTGGAAGAAAATCAGAAACAATAATCAACAATAGCTCCACTTTTGCCATTTTCCTGTCTCTGAAATCTTAACCTCTGCATAAGGAAGGTTTGATAAAAAACTAATGTATTTTGTTTATGCAGGTATTCCCCAGGTTATGCTGTTAACTAAGGTGGATATAGCTTGTCCATTGGTGGGAAATGATCTCCAGAAGGTGTACAGGAGCAGATACATCAAAGCAGAGGTGATTTTAAACTTTGCTGCAGTGGGTTTTAAAATAAATGTATTAACTTCTCAAGTCACACTTTAGTCAAAAGAAGACAAATCCTGACCTAGATATAAAAACAATCCTACAAGTTTTGTACTGTATTACAATATTGTAGCCAGTTTAAATTACTTTGCTAATGTGCTTCATAATCAGTCGGCATCTATGCTCCAGCTGGAAGGAGAGAGTAAGACAGTAAAAGCTCTGAAATTAAGGGATCTTTTTAGATTGAGACTGAGTTGGCTAACAGGACTTTGAGTGAGACACAGTAGGCATGAATAAGATGTGTTATTAAGGAACAGGAATGGCTTGCTGGCTCAGGGCTGGCACTGGAGTATTTTCTCACAATAGAAAGGAGAGCAGAATCTGGATGGCACAGGCTGTATCACTAGTCACCCTGCATAACACGATCTGCAGATCTGGCATTCACTGAGACACACAAAATAGATACAAATATATATATATAGAGAGAGATATTTGATTGTTTTTTTCTTTCAGATATTCGTGATTTTAATGTGCGTGTTTTTATTCTCATTATCGTTAGATGTGTTATTAGTCTGTGACAATGTTTAAAGTAAAATTACTTTGACTTGGACATTCTATTTATTTTGCATGAATCTCCACTTTCTTTATATTTCAGATAGAAAAGGCTAGTCAGATATTGGGCATTCCTATAAACTACATTCTTCCCGTGAAGAACTACTGTGTGAAAACCAGCCTGAATGATGACACTGATGTCCTGGCCCTGACAGCACTGCTGCAGATACTCAGATTTACAAACTGCCACTTAGAAAACACGGATCAAAAGAAATTTAAGAAATAGTAGTAAAGTATTAATAACTATGTATTGAATTTTAAAATTTCACTAAGAGATATCTGAACAGCTTAATTAACTCAATTTAGTTTCTTGTTTTTTTCTGATATTCTCATATATCAATTAGACATTTGACAATGCAAGCTAAAAATGTCTCTATATGAGAATATGAATAAAAATAAGAATTAAAACCACCTAATGCTAATTAGAATTAAATCTTGTATTAGGTTCTGCTATATTGCAAGATATAAAGTAGCAGATACTGTATATCACTAATCAAGCAGCCCACTGAAGCTCAGCAGGTGTGAGCCTGGCCAGTACCTGGCTAGTACCTGGATGCTCAGTAGAGAGCACTGTCCTGCAGTCTCTGTGGGTCCTAATACAGTGATGTGCACAATGTTTTCTACTATAATGTAGAAAGGCACTATCATTCATATGAGATGTAAAACTGAGGTCCTGACCAAATTTCCCCCTGGCCTTTACAATTCATGGCCTCCTAATAACCCCCATCTCTGAACTGGCTTCATCACTCTGCTCTCCTCCCCACTGAGAGCTGATGTGTGGTGAGCCTACTAGCAGCCTCTCACTGTATTAATTACTGCATATAATGTAAAAGCAATTATGTTATTCACACACTAAAGGAGGTTAGCATTTGAAGCATAATCCACATTTATCCCTTGAAAACACAAATTAGGATCCCATGTGTTGTAACAGAAAGAATAAGGTTCTGGATCCCGAAATGAAGTTAAACAGATTAAGTTTATTGCATGCAAGGAACAATAGAACCAAATTCTTGTTTCCCGCAAGAAACAACAAAACTGTTAAGTATTGTTCGAAGTGCCAGTACAAACTTTCAGTTTATATAGGGTTTTCCAGCCACTGCTGATGTCACTCGTTATTATGGTAAAGGGGGGAGGTCACGTGTTTGGCCAGTTTACAGCCTTTTGGCCAAATGGTCAGGGATTAAGTCCCCAGAGGGGTTTCTAGTTGGCCTCTGGAATCCTTATCAGTTCTCCCTTTCCTCCAGTTGCTTAGAAGTCTAATCTTCAAGCAGAAAGGACTTAATTTAACCCAATCTTTACATCTTGTATCTTACTTCATATGTGAATCGAAAAAGAAAGTACCCTTTTCTCCAGTGTTCAAAATATTTTCATAACATTCCACTTAAAATACTTACATCAAGGATGCTCAGGTCTTTAAAATTCCTTTTTAATTCCAGTGTAACTTGTCTCCTGAGGCTACTTCAAAACTTAGCTCACCCTCACACAGACACATTTGGAAGACTCACCACCATATTACATCAGTTTCTTATTCAAACGTTGTTGTTAATATCCCTTATTTCTATTCTGACTGGATAAATTCAGATCATATGCATTCTCCATTCCTTCACTCTCTTCCACCATTTCTGATTTATCTGCCTGGGGACAGAGCAGCTCTTTCTGTAAACCTGTGCTACCTACCCCTCCCTCTGCCCTGTGAAGAATGGGGCAGCTCCTGTTGACAGTGATGACAGTACTACTGAGAATTTATTTTTAACACTAAAACAGTCTAATAGAAACTAGCTAGGAAATAGAAGATATCTGCAAATTGAAGATCATAACTGCTGTAACCCCTTCTCTTTTGTCTGTGAATTTGTAAATGTGAATCCATTTATCTATCAATGCCTCTGTGTAGAATTATGTATATTTCAAATCCTTTTCAAATTATACCTGATTTTTACCTTTGTGTTTCTGTGTGGGAGTTATGATTCCACTGTCATAGAATTAGATATTCAACTCCTGGAGAATTCTGGGCACATTCACATATTGACTCTGTATGCTGTTATGAACACATTGTTTTATGCATGAATAAATGTACTCAGTGTGTTGTGAATCAGTGTCTGCA